TTAAACTTTCCTTCTTCTGATTGTTTAATTTAAGTTGTCTCCTAACTGTATCAATAACTTTGGCTGCGTGATCTAAATCATTTTTTCCAGTAGCAATAATAACAGATGCTGGATCAAGATACTTGAATTTTTTTAACAAAAGCATTTACCATAGAAGGAGTCTCATTGTCTAAATTAAATATCATTTTGTAGACTTTAGAAAATCTATTTTTAAATTCAAAAGGATCATCATTAATCGTAGCTCTTAAGGAGTCTAAGATTTCCAAAGAAGGAATTTCCTGTCTAGTAGTAAATTTCAATAATTGACGTAGTCGGTCTGATGCATTGCTATGCATTTCCTCATCATCCTCAATATATGGCGTTTTGATTAATCTACATGCCATAACACTGGGGAGCCATAAACAGAATAGAAAATTTCTTTGCTCCTGATTTAAACAAAAATTATTACAAAAATTTTCAGAAACCTCCATGTTATAGAAAGCATCGGCGTCCATATCATAGGCTGGCATATCCTTCAAAATTTTCATGAGCTGATCAAGGATTTTAAGATTAAGTTTTGCAGCTGTATCCGTTAATTTTCTCTTACACATTTCTTCCTGATTGGTAGGATCTCCTTCTATAGACTGGATGTCTGGTACAAAAGAGTGTTGTTTCTCTGCCTTGGTATTCACACAATTCTTTTTACATCATTCTGCAGGTCAGATAACTGAATGTCTTTTGTTTGAATTGCACTTTGCAGATCATCAATTTGCTCAGTCAAAATCTGGCAATTAGCACATACACTGCTCTGATCTTGCTTCATTACACAAGCAGCAGTCTTAGGAACATCAAAAATCATGGCGATAAAAACATTAACTAACTTCATTACATTTCTAACTTGTTTGCTCAGTTTCTTAAAGGAAAACTTAGATTTTTCTATCTTAATATTAGCCTGTAAGCATTCATTATACATGTACCGCCAAAGTTCATTATCTTTAACAAATGTAGACAGATTCTTGAATTCTAACTTACTCTCTCTAGATAATTCATCAATAAAATCCATTACTTACCGATTAAGAAGGTCTTTCTTTACATAACGCGTCTTTTCTCTCTTGGCGGGAAATGACATCACCAAGGAACAGCGTTTCTTGCAATTGCGCAAAATTCTCACCAATTCTGCTTTAGGTTCTCGATTATGCCGACGATTCATCTGTTGCAGACTTTACTTCTCCTGAAAGCTTGATTTCATATTTTGTTGAGTTTGCAAACCACGTCCCTCTCATCAAGATGAAAGAGAAAAAAGTCAAAAATAAGCGAGTGTCGGAAACTAAATCGAACTGGAGGCTCGCCACTGTAAAATATCGTATTGTCTCGATATTTTATTAACTTGTATTGATGAGAAATGTTCAAATAGAAAGTCCTTCCACTTCTTGTAAAAACTCAAAAAGATGATTTTAATAATAACGTTGCATAAAATTAGAAATAAAATATTGGCATACAGAATGTTTAAATAATGTCCAAAAAATATAGTTAAGTTCTTGATAATAAGATTGTATATATGTATATGTGTGTGTATGTGTGTGTGTATGTCTGTCGCATCAAGGCTGCTATAGAGTGAGAGAGACTCAAACCTTTGTTCTGCTACCAAAAGAGCAATCCAGCCCCCACCAACCTAAAAGTGGGTTGGTATTCTCTTGTAGTCCTACTAAGATAATTGCTTCTCTCAAAGTCTGAGTGTAACTTTATCTCTTACATAGATGGGGGAGGATGGGGGAAGGTATAGCTAATTGCTCTCATATGTGGCTTGAATGTAAAGGAAAAACCCAAGATATATGTTCACAGACTCTGAAGTCTAATTCCTTTACTTTTCCCAATCTAGAACAAATATAAATATAATAACTCAATTATTCTATTAAGATCCAACTCATTCATACTTATGTTAGTACTGTTAATAAGAAGATATTAGATATTGGGTTAAGGAAAGCTTCTAACAGTATGACACTATGTCGAGCTTTTTTTTCCTTTTTGAGGTGCACTAATATCAGGATGTGCGGGTATTAAGAAGGTTTTGGTGATGAAAGAAGAAGAAAAAAGTTTAAGTTTTTGTGTTTCACTTGTGAGGATTATTTTTGGGATTTTTTGATTTTATTTTTGGACACGGTGGGACTTTGGACATAATTTTTATATATAATTTTTTATATATAATTTTTATAATTTTTATAATTTTTGGTTTTATTTCATTTAATTTGATGTATCTGCTCATAGAAAAGTCACATATATATTGTTTCTATAGGATGCTGCATGAGAAAGACGCAACCCTGAAACAAGAAAACTGGGGCAGTGGTCATGACACCAGCTGTCAGGGAATAGAGAAATTGCTTAAGTGCACATCTATGCGCCAGCGCCGGGTGCCTGCCGGCCATACCCCTGCGCATGTACGCCTGCTGCTGAACTGGCGCCAGGCAGGCTATTTAAACCTCTGTTGCACTAAGAATCCTTGCCTTCTGGTCTATCACGTTATGTTGCTTGCTGCAATTGTATCCTGATCCTGTTGCCTACCTGACCTCTCTTGACTGCGACTGAACTCAGCTTGCACAGACCCAGCTTATCCATTGACTATCCGCTTGCCTGCTCCCTGTACCTGATCTGCCCGATTGATCCTGAGCCGGCTTGTCTGACCCTGCTACCTCTCCTGCCTGTAACTATCACTTGCTACCAGTGATCAGTAGTTGTCAAGTTCCTGCTAATACCTTCCTGCTGCTGCTTCCGTGTACCTGCATCCGCAACTGACCTGCATCCTGGTCGTTTAGGCTAGCCACCTGTCAGCTGTCACTGCAGACCTGCAAGGCACTTGTGCCACACCTGGCTTTGTGCCTTCTGTTTGCTCTATTAGGGGCACCGAGCAGGAGTTGTAAGAGGACGCCTTCATCTCCATGTCAGGCTCCCCCACCAGGTACATGACACCAGCTTAACTAGTTGCAGACTTTGGACGTACTACACGTGCCCACAAATCTTCATCATTGTACACATGACCAGAGGTGGTGTCAGGGCTCCGGGGTGTGACCAGAGGTATGTGACTGACGCAGGGAAACGCAGGCTTCAGATAAGTTATAAACAATATAATTTATTAAAGACTAACAATACAAACATAGACGCAGTGCAATACTAAAACATAACACAGTGCAAATGAACCAAACCACCCACAGATAACAGTACATACAATGCAAGCGTCATCAGGCAGGCCGGGTCAATAACAATCGGGCAGGTAGGTACAGGGGGTCAGGCAGAGAATGGTCGGGGTCACAAGCCAGGGATCAAACAGGAGAAGTCAGCAGAGGTCCGGATCAGGCAGGGTCAGCAACGAATCAGACAGAGACAGGGACAGGAACAGGAACAGGAACAGGGATGCAGGAACAAGATACAGGACCCAGGAAAAACACACACCAAGGCAGAGACTGCAGGTCTGGCCATCCCTTAAATACACCTGTATAATCAACTTCAGGTGTTTGGCTGGCTGCAGGGTTGAGTCTCTGATTGCTGGGAGCACCCGCTGGCCAGCCCTGGTACTGCAGCCCACAAGGCAGGTGAGTCCCACCATTACTGGCAAGTCCATTCCTGACAGTACCCCCCCTCAAGGAGCGGCCTCAGGACGCTCCAAACAGTCCTAGCTGGGCAAAATGTTCCACCGCCCGGGTCTGGTAGCTGGCGGGATATCAAAGACTTGCACATCGGGCAGGACTCCAGGCAGCGGCACACCGGGCAGGACTCCGGGCAGCGCACACCGGGCAGGGACTCCGGGCAGCGGCACACCGGGCAGGACTCCGGGCAGCGGCACACCAGGCAGGACTCCAGGCAGCGGCACACACCGGGCAGGACTCCGGGCAGTGGCACATCGGGCAGAGGCACATCGGGCAGGACTCCGGGCAGCGGCACATCGGGCAGGACTCCGGGCAGCGGCACATCGGGCAGAGGCACATCGAGCTGGACTCCGGTCAGAGGCACATCGGGCTGGACTCCGGGCAGCAGCACATCGGGCAGGACTCCGGGCAGAGGCACATCGAGCTGGACTCGAGCAGAGGCACATCGAGCTGGACTTCGGGCAGCGGCACATCGGGCAGAGGCACATCGAGCTGGACTCCGGGCAGAGGCACATCGGGCTCCCAGGCGGAGCGGCGGGCCCCCAGGCGGAGCGGCGGGCGCCGGGCCTCCAGGCGGAGCGACAGGCACCGGGCCCCCAGGAGGGGCGGCGGGCACCGGACCCCCAGGAGGAGCGACGGGCGCCGGGCCCCCAGGCGGAGCGGCGGGCACCGGGTCATCAGGCACGACAACGGGCATCGGGTCACCAGGCATCAGGTCATTTGGCTCGCCAGCGGGCACCACGTCATCTGGCAAGGCAGTGGGCACCGAGTCACCAGGCACGACAGTGGGTTCCGAGTCAACTGGCATGACCACGGGCACTGGGTCAGACATTGGATCGTCTGGCTCGACAGCGGGCATCGGGTCACCAGGCATCAGGTCATTTTCGCTCGACAGCGGGCACCGCGTCATCTGGCAAGGCAGTGGGCACCGAGTCACCAGGCACGACAGTGGGCTCTGAGTCAATTGGCACGACAGCGGGCACCGGGTCATCAGGTACCGGATCGTCTGGATCGACAGCGGGCACCGGGTCATCTGGCGTTGGATCGTCTGGCTCAACAGCGGGCATCGGGTCACCAGGCATGACAGCGGGCACTGGGTCACCAGGCATCAGGTCATTTGGCTCGCCAGCGGGCACCACGTCATCCAAGGCAGTGGGCACCGAGTCACCAGGCATGACAGTGGGCTCCGAGTCAACTGGCATGACCGCGGGCACTGGGTCAGACATTGGATCGTCTGGCCCGACAGCGGGCATCGGGTCACCAGGCATGACAGCGGGCACTGGGTCATCAGGCATGGGATTGTCTGGCTCGACAGCAGGCATCGGGTCACCAGGTATGACAGCGGGCACTGGGTCACCAGGCATCAGGTCATTTGGCTCGCCAGCGGGCACCGCGTCATCTGGCAAGGCAGTGGGCACCGAGTCACCAGGCACAACAGTGGGCTCCGAGTCAACTGGCATGACCGCGGGCACTGGGTCAGACATTGGATCGTCTGACCCGACAGCGGGCATCGGGTCACCAGGCATCAGGTCATTTGGCTCGACAGCGGGCACCGCGTCATCTGGCAAGGCAGTAGGCACCGAGTCACCAGGCACAACAGTGGGCTCTGAGTCAATTGGCACGACAGCGGGCACCGGGTCATCTGGCGCTGGATCGTCTGGCTCGACAGCGAGCATCGGGTCACCAGGCATGACAGCGGGCACTGGTTCATCAGGCATTGGATCGTCTGGCTCGACAGCAGGCATCGGGTCACCAGGCATGACAGTGGGCACTGGGTCATCAGGTAACGGATCGTCTGGCTCAACAGCGGGCACTGGGTCATCAGGCGTGATAGGATCATCAGGCTGGATCAGTTCATCAGGCTGGGTACAGACATCAGGCTGGGTACAGGCATCAGGCTGGGTACAGGCATCAGGCTGAAGTGCGGGTGCCGAGGCACCAGGCTGAACCACGGAAGGCAGGTTCTCAGACGGCAGGCTCACCGGTTTGGATACTGGCAGGATGGTACTGGTTGGAAAGAATTTCCGCTATTTTCTGGTTTTAACTACTGGGGCACTGCAAGTAAACGCAGGTCTGCAAACGAATGGAGCAGCTGAGGACAGAGAAGAGCTGGAAGATGGAACAGAGGAGGGAGCAGTTGCTACAGAGGACTTCTTTACAGGGTTAAAGAAAGGATAGGTGCAGCGAGTGGGAGCAGAGGACTGGTATGTGGTAGTTAGAGTATACTGGGCAGTCACTGGGGGTGCTGTCGGGGATGCAGGAAGAGTGCTTTGAGCGGAGGAATGATGTTGTAAGCTGACTGAGGCTGGGTGCAACAAGTCTGACCATGTCTGCAGTATGGGTTGAACAAAGCTCAGTTTACACAAAGCCTGTCTGGTCAATGACTGCACTGCGTTTATACAATCTCTTAGTACCTGTGGTGAACATGCAGAATAACGCTCCAGAAAGTAATCCACATCATCCTCTAATAACCATACCAGGGACTCTACCTGGTCGGCACTAAATGGCGGCAAAAATTCATCCCTGCATTCGGGGGTACCAGATGAAACCAACTCAGCACAAACCTGAATCAATGGCTGCACTTCAGAGAACTCTGTGCCCTGATCTACTAGGCAATGAGCGATCCGTATACATTCTAGCAGTTCATCCCTGGGATACTCCTTCAGAGTTTGATAAGCATACTCTCTGTCATCAAACACTAGCAGAGATAAATACACAACCTCATCAAGATCCATCCTTCCCAGCAACAAGCCAAGATGGCTTTCCTGTGCAGCCACTTCTGGTCAGGAGTGGCCTTGGTGTAATAAAATGCAATATCTCCTGCGCTCCGGGACCCAGGCCGGTGGTAAGTAGATGGAATCAAACTCCAAAAAGGAAGGGACCACCGGAATAGACAAGGTCGTGCAGCTCCACATCAAGGCTGGGGAAGCCCAAACAAAACTGTGAAGGAGAACAACAAAAGAGAAGCGCACCAACCTTGCGCATTACCTCAGTAACCAAAAATTTATTGAATAAAAGAATGGTACTCACAAACAGCGAATAAAAACAAGCATGTAAGTCCTCAAGGGGACTTTAAAGGCAAGATGCCAATGCGAATCCCGTCATGGAGGAAGCCACTTAGTACAGCTGACGCGTTTCGAAGGACGTGCCTTCTTCCTCAGAGCTCTGAGGAAGAAGGCACGTCCTTCGAAACGCGTCAGCTGTACTGAGTGGCTTCCTCCATGACAGGATTCGCATTGGCATCTTGCCTTTAAAGTCCCCTTGAGGACTTACATGCTTGTTTTTATTCGCTGTTTGTGAGTACCATTCTTTTATTCAATAAATTTTTGGTTACTGAGGTAATGCGCAAGGTTGGTGCGCTTCTCTTTTGTTGGTGGCCTTGGTGTAATGTCAGGGCTCCGGGGTGTGACCAGAGGTATGTGACTGACGCAGGGAAACGCAGGCTTCAGATAAGTTATAAACAATATAATTTATTAAAGACTAACATTACAAACATAGACGCAGTGCAATACTAAAACATAACACAGTGCAAATGAACCAAACCACCCACAGATAACAGTACATACAATGCAAGCGTCGTCAGGCAGGCCGGGTCAATATCAATCGGGCAGGTAGGTACAGGGGGTCAGGCAGAGAATGGTCGGGGTCACAAGCCAGGGATCAAACAGGAGAAGTCAGCAGAGGTCCGGATCAGGCAGGGTCAGCAACGAATCAGACAGAGACAGGGACAGGAACAGGAACAGGAACAGGGATGCAGGAACAAGATACAGGACCCAGGAAAAACACACACCAAGGCAGAGACTGCAGGTCTGGCCATGCCTTAAATACACCTGTATAATCAACTTCAGGTGTTTGGCTGGCTGCAGGGTTGAGTCTCTGATTGCTGGGAGCACCCGCTGGCCAGCCCTGGTACTGCAGCCCACAAGGCAGGTGAGTCCCACCATTACTGGCAAGTCCATTCCTGACAGGTGGACTGACCATTCGAGCACTCGGGCACCGCCCGAGGGCTCGAGGTCAGTATGGGGCCCCATAAAATGCCCCTGGTACCTTTTTTATAGGCTTTTATGAGTGTGGCAAGGACATAGGGGCCCCATGATCCCCCATGATCCCCTACTGCCCAGGGGCCCCATGAGTTGTCAGTCCGCCCCTGCACATGATGTGTATTACATCCAGTCTCTGTGCTCTGCTTCTGTGACCCACTCCCAGTATACTAATCAAAGCCAGCATTACAATGTACTCAGAGAAGAATTAGGCAGCTCTAGCTGTCAAAAAAGCAGTCTGAATCAGTGTTTATAAACAAAGATACAAAGCAACATATTGTTACTTTTGTATCATTCTCTTCATTCATCTGCTGATCAAAGGGATGACCTTACCTCTGCAAATAATGTCAGTTGAAGCAAGCTGTAAAGAAAAGTGATCCCTTATTGCCCAGGGGCCCCATGATTTGCCAGTCCGCTCCTGATATTAGCGCTGCACCTTTGTATACATGTCTTTAGAATATATAGTACATGAACGTTAAAATGAAGTTTGCCATTGAATGTCCAGGAAGTTAGTGTAGAAGAATGAATCCTTTTTTTGTACTAACACGTTGAAATAATAATTGACTTGATACCTACTGTCCACTCCATCAGTTTAAATTAAGCAAGGCTTTCTCAAACTGTACTTTAGCTACTAATCACCAACAGATTCTGAAAACTCAGCTAAGATTGAGCAAACCTCAGCTAAGATTTATCAGGAAAAATGGCTGCCTGGAAGTCCTAATTAGAAGGTTTTAGGAAGATGGGCTTCTTGAGTGCATGCGTTTGCATTGCTGCTTTGTGGGATTGAAATTATTTGACTGCAGTATATATAAAAATCATAAAATGTTTTTTTTTCAAATACTCCTGGTATAAGAATGTGAAATCTGTCTTCACATTATCGCTGTATAGATTTTTTGCAAAAATAATTGTCTGACATGTTTTTCCATATTTTTCACTCATCATGGAACTATCCGAAGTTAGGTGAAGTAGACCTAAGTTCAAACATTAGGAAGGTGTAGTTTTTGACATGAATCAAGATTCCCTCCCTTTTTTTTAATCTTTTTTTTTAGTTATATATTAGACACCACATTAGACCAAACAACTTCTTTCTTATTTCCTTTTTTATCCCATTGCTAGCTCCTAGGCAAACCCAATGTCCGGGAATATAGGGGAACCCACACCCTCCCTCCTATTCTCCTATAGGAGGGGTGATTGGACATGGCAGGGGCGGACTGACAGCTCATGGGACCCCCGGGCAATAGGGGATCATGGGGCCCCTGTGTCCTTGCCCAAACTCAAAAAAAACTATGAAAAAGGGACCAGGGGCATCTCATGGGGCCCCCTACTGACCCCGGGCCCTCGGGCAGTACCCGAGTTTCCAAATGGTCAGTCCGCCCCTGGACATGGTGATATATGGCCACACTGTTCCCAATCATTTTTTACCTTGATTGTGCTGTATCATAAAATGTCAGCCATATTGATAATATTTGAGAAAGGCTTTTTTTGTAGAATTAAAAAATGTATATTTTCAATCTTGCTGCAGATCTTATCATATTGCACGCAGAGTTACCCCCTGAAGAAGGAGCTCTGCCTCTGAAATGCGGTACTCGGTCTAGAGTCTCTGCTTGTATGACAAATCGCTGTATATAATTTTTTGCAAAAATAATTGTCTGATGTGGAAACTACTGTTTTACCTTTTAGATATTATTTAATAAAAGTTATTCAAAATTGTCTTGTTAAAATTTGTTTTTATATTGACTAAAAAATCCCACCCTTAGGGGAAGTTTTTTCTTGATCTAAGTTCAAACATCCAGCCATGCTAGGAAGAAGCTCAGTTTTTTCCCACTGATTTGAATGTTTGCTCAACTCATGTTTTAACCTTAGACCTCACTTTGCTCTAAATGACATTAGGCTAGACCCCAAAACGTAGAATGGTAGAATAGAGAGTGGAGTAACACTTTGAGACAATCACTGCGTTGCACTGCACAGTGGCAAAGGTTTATTGCCTAAATCGTATGCAAACCCTAGCATTGAATTTCCCCTGCTTTCACCTTTTGGGTGTTTAAAACGAAATTAAACCTCTGCATAAAAATTTTTAAAAACGGTCCCTGGGAGCTTTGTGCCATAATGTACTAATGTACACCACATATCAACACGTTATGGCACACTTACCTGCCAGTCATTCCCCTCCAGTGCTGCAGTGTCAGCACTCCCAGTTGACACAAACACTTTCATCTTTTTCCGATCTTTCTTTTGGACTGTGCATGTGCAGCCAGTGTACAATATTGGTCACAGGCAGGATTTTTTAACAGAGGAGGTTTTTTTTTTTAGTTTAATTCTGCTTTAGTATACTACTGATAGCATTTTGTTATATCTGTTCAATAAATGTAAAAAAGAAAATCCAGTGTTGTCCTGTGTCCTGCACACTGTAGTATTGTCCAAAGAAGAATTATCAGTCCTGCTCGGTTCTCTGAATTACAGAACACATCCTTCCATGTACATATATAAGAAAAGGGGGAAATATTCTGTATTCCTAGCACATTTCTTGTCCTAGAGTGACAACGCTACTTCTTCACAGATACAGTAGAGTGGATGGTATCACTCTAGGACAGAAAGTGTGTTACTTGCAGGCAGGGCCGGTGCTTCCACTAGGCCAGGGGTGGGCAACTGTGGCCCTCCAGCTGTTGGTGAACTACAAGTCCCATCATGCCTCTGCCTTTGGGAGTCATGCTTGTAACTGTCAGTTTTGCAATGCCTCATGGGACTTGTAGTTCTACAACAGCTGGAGGGCCACAGTTGCCCACCCCTGCACTAGGCAAACTAGGCCGCCTAGGGCACACTGCCACCTACAGGGATTCTTTGACTGTCAGTTTAACTGCTGCCTATAGGAGTAATAGACACTGACACAAAATACAACATGGAATAGCCCTGCCCAGAACCATCATGCTTTAGTTTTCTAGAAAAATAGTACTGAGAGCATAAAATGAACATATTTTATTT